CATCGACAACTCTATCCTGACCAACCATTTGATTGTAAGCTTTCTGGGCTATTACCATGGTAGGTGCATTCGTGTTTCCAGATACTACTGTGGGCATGACGGAGGCGTCGATCACCCTAAGTCCTTCCATTCCGTGTACTTTCAGACCATTTGAGTGATCCACCACTGCCATAGGATCTGATGATGGACCCATTCTACAGGTAGATACCGGGTGGTAGATGGATTCGGTATTTTCACGCAGATACTCCTTGATGTCGTTATCGGTAAGGTTGTTTACATCCTTATCGCCAAATCCACTGACCACCAGGTTATCTTCTGCTAGGGTCTTGGTTTGAATCAGCTCGATGCTCTTTCGTACTGCTGCCACCATGGGGTCAAAGTCGGCGGGCACATCGTAATAGTTGGGGTCAATCAGTGGGCCCTCCATTGGGTCAGCCGAATTCAGACCAACCGTCCCGCGAGACTCGGGCCGCATATAGCACGATTTGACCGAGATGCCACCACCGTATCTTAAAGTGGCACCATGATCTTTGTAGTAGAAGGGTGCGACATGCATTTGAATATCATTAGCGGGAATGTCAGGCTTGCTTTTGAAGAATGAGCCGACCATTTGGTTGTCTCCCATGAACACTCCTTCTTTCTTGAAAAGACCTAGGAAGAAGTGCTTGATCTGACTTGGTAGGTTGGTGAGCCCGATTTGCAGTGGCATACTTATTCTCGAAGTTTTTGCATTCACACAGATGTCGGCATGATCCTGAAGATTCTGTCCCACTCCTGGCAATTCATGTACTACATCAATTCCGTGCTTAGTAAGCTGGTCCTTAGGGCCAATTCCTGAGAGCATCAGCAACTGTGGACTGTTAAATGCACCACCGCACAGGACAACATCGTTTTTCGCTTCGAATGTTACGGGGCTAGCAGAATCTGAGCTGCCTGATACCACTGCATGTACTCCAGTCGCTCGTTTGCCTTCTGTGAGTACCTTTGTGGTATGAGCATCAACAATAACATCCAGATTTGGGCGAGCTCGGACCTCTGGAGTCAGGAAGGCAACACCAGTGCTGCAGCGCCCACCCTTGGTCTGCGTGTACTGATAATACCCTATTCCAGACTGGTCGGCTCCATTAAAGTCATCGGTTGTTTTCCATCCCAACTCGTTGCCTGCTTTGACAATGCGCTTACTGTATGGACCAATGTGATTCTGTGTCCGCACATGAAGAGGACCTTTGTTACCGTGGTATGGGTTGTTTTTGAGTGTATCGTTATTCTCCAATTCCTTGAAAATGGGTAGCACATTCTCCCATTCCCAACCGTTGCATTTATTTTCCTCAGCCCACAAGTTGGTGAAGTCATATTTCAAGCCACGAATATATACCATAGCGTTAATCGCAGAGGAGCCGCCGACTCCGCGACCACGAGGCTGGAACATGTTCCTACCATTACAGTTCTTCTGAGGTGTTGTCCAGTATCGATGGTTGTACTTTTTACTGTAGGGAACGGTCCAGAAGAACCCACTGGGGTTGCGGATGAGCGGTGTGTTATCATCTGAGCCCGTCTCCAGTAAAGCCACTCGCACATTGGGGTCCGATGAGAGGCGATTGGCCATTACACAGCCGGCACTTCCGCCACCAACAACTACATAGTCGTAGACCTGCTTAGTAGAAGCAGGGAGAGATCGAAGAGACTTTGAGAGTGACATCTTAAATAGTCGTTTAGTTGATTATGCAAATGTAAACTATTAAGTATATTCTGGTGATTTTAATGAACTGGTGAGCGCTTAAATATCAGAAAGCAGACTTTTGTAGCCATAATGCGGTGCATCCAGCGATCGATATTTGCTTGAATCAATAGTCAAACTGACGTAGCGTATATGTAGCTCTATATAAAATGCGTAAACCAATCGCGCGTACGGCTCAGAGCCTTCAGAGCGCTAAGATTTATCCCTGTAAACGGTATAATTACAATTTTATATATAAAATCAACTCTGAACTCACTGTACATATCTGTGTAAATATCAGCCTATCAGAAGTTCACTGGTTCTGTGGTTCAGCCGTTCAGGTCTTCTGTCTTCATTCTTCAAGACTCAACCTTTTCGGCTTTTCAGTTTTTACTTTTCAGTTTTCACTCCACTTTGCAGTTTGCACTTTGCTGACTTTTCACTGTTCCAGTGTTCCAGTGTTCAAGTGTTGAGTGTTCAGTTTTCACTTTCCAGCTTGTTCAGAAACAAATCTTTTTCACGAAAATTTTGAAATATATCGCCAATCGCCAATCGGGTGATATTCAGTGAAACTCCGGAATTCCGGATCCCAGAAATAAATACAACTGTTGAACTCCGTCGGTTTATCAATTATGAATTTCAATTTCAAATATCCAAGCCTATGTGTGCTCAGGTTCTGGAATTTATTCTCTCTCGTATACATAGATCATGGCTTCAGGCATATGTACAGCATAGGCTGCATAAATAACATCATACAGCCATACATAGCCTTTGTTCAGTGTTCACAAGCAGCTAAATATTATAAAGTATGATGTATCACATCAGGAACATTCAACTCTAGGGAGGCCACTTTGCCATAATAGGAATTTATGACTCCGTGTGCGGACTGCGGAGTACGGACCATTGATACAAAGTAGTATGATGCAAGTATGTGTGCTCCTTTGACCTTTTAAGTTTTATCCTGAAATTCGGACGTCATGTTCACAGTTCAAAACTTTTGTGGCTTGGGAAGTTGAGTGTATTCTCTGGTCTCTGCACAAAGGTTGCAAAACTGATATGTAGTCAGATGGAATATGATCTACAAAAAAAACATTTTTTAAGGATTACATTCTTGCTTACTGCATGCGAAAGTATTTAAGGCATACTGCCATACAGAGACTATTGTCATATCGATATATCAACACCATCGTCCATCCAAAATATTCCTACATAAAAGGGTAAACCAAACTATAAATGCGTCGATCTGTGCTGCTGATGCTCATATGCGAGCTAGCACAGCTTTCAGGGCAGGTACCACACTTCCATTAAGCTGGAGAAAGAATCAATTACAGGCTCTCAGAAGAATGATCAGTGAAAATGAGGAAACTATCCAGAAGGCTGTGTATGCGGATTTGGGAAAGAGCCCCGAGGAGGTTTGGTTAGCGGAGACACAAGCCTCAATCAACGGCATCGATAGCATGATAGCCAACGTTGATAGCTGGTCAAGGGCAACTCACGTGGACACTGACGTTTTCAACTATCCGGCCACATCGATGATTAAACCAGAACCTCTGGGCACGGCCCTGATAATTGGTTGCTGGAACTATCCGATCACACTCATCGCCGATCCCATGGCTGCAAGCATTGCAGCCGGCAATGCAGTTGTTGTCAAAACGGGAGCTGAGACACACTCACCCGAGACGATGAAACTTCTGTGTGAGCTAATTCCGAAGTACATGGACAATCAAGTTGTGAGCATTGTTTCTGGTGGCTTTGACGAGCTGCAGGATCTTTTGTCAATGCGCTGGGATGTTATTTTTGCAACCGGTTCGCCCGGGCTTGGCCGCATGGTAGCCAAGGCAGGCGCACCAAACTTGACCAAATGTATACTGGAACTAGGTGGCAAATCACCGGTGTACGTTGGCAAAGATGCCAATCTAGCAGTAGCTGCCAAGCGCATTGTGTGGGGATCCTTGGGCCTAAATGCAGGGCAGACGTGTATACGTCCCGATCACATGTTCGTAGACAGCTCAATCGCCGAAGCTTTCATCAGTACGCTGAAGGAAACGATTGTCGCTCAGTACGGCGTCGATCCGCAGCAAAGTAGGGCGTTTGGGCGTATGGCGAAGGTACCAGCACATCACAAGCGCTTATCCAAGATGATCAAGAGCGATAGCAAGTACATAGTTCATGGTGGCGAAACAGATGCTTCAGATTTCTATATCGCACCTACACTATTAGACTTTGGGACAGACTTTGAGGCATACCACGCTTCTGCTTGTATGCAAGAGGAAATATTTGGTCCCATATTACCCATCTTACGTGTAGATGGCGTCGAGAAAGCGATCGATTCCATTCTAACAAGAGAAAAACCACTTGCCATGTATGCCTTCACATATGACGGGCACGTGCAGGAAAAGTTCATGAACGTATCTGCGGGAAGTCTCCAGTTCAATGATGCCATTACATTCATGCTGAACGAGAACCTTCCATTTGGAGGGGTAGGCAATTCGGGTAGCGGCAAGTACCATGGCTACCAAGGGTTTGTAGAGTTTAGTCACATGAAGTCTATTATGATCAATTCGAATTTGAATGACTTAAAGGCACGTTTTTCTCCCCAAACAAAAGCCGATATGGCTGTGATGAAGATCGCACACCGTCACATTCCTGGTGTTGTGGTGAGTAGTCTGAACCGAATGCATTATTTTGCCTTTGCCACAGTCGCCGTCAGCGCCGCAGCCTTCATGCTAGTAAAATATCTTTGAAGACGCACTAGCTTTAATATACAACAAAATTAAATGCCAGACCGGTTTAAAATGCTTTCCTCCATGTACGGTACAGGATTCAATATGAGACCTGAGTTTAGTTCCTTATCTCGACAATCCTTTTTCTCACAATCTGTATCGAATTCTTACTCGATTTTTACTCGCCGGCGATAAAATGCCTTGACGAGTACGTGAATGTAGCCTCGTTAAGACTTCATGGATCTAAGTTGACTAATTGATGGCTCAATGGTTTACAGTGTACCATTTTTAAAATTAATCTGCGTGTTTTGATCAACTTACTATTCAATTCTAATACGCATTTTTTGCAATGATCTGTCATAGATACGAGAAACCACACAAACACATATACATACATACCTTCCCCCCTCCTCTCCACACACACACATACACACGCACACACACACATATATATATATAC